CATTTATCAAAATGTACATATATACATACAGATATATGTATTTACATGACATACAGATAGAATGTCAGACATCAGCAATAGAAAGAAAAATATCTAGAGGTATACCTTTAAATGTTAACATTCAAGTATACTTTTATAAACTTACATAAATTTAAACTCAAGTATACTTGCATATGTGCTGCTGAAGCAAGCACAACTTAACTATGCTTGTTAAGCATACTTCCTAATTTTTTACAAGAACCATCTATTGATTTTAGAATATGTTTTAAGGTGTTTTATTAAATGGAAGTTTTTCAAAAAGTAGGTGACAGAAAGCTCACTGTTACAGCCTTTAGGTCAGATTTACAGCTCAGCATATTTTAAATACTATGCGATGATTTCCCTTATATTCACTTCCAACAAACTATTAGAGTCCTAGTACGCCCATGGATATTTATACAACTAGAAAAGAAGGGCTAAGAGGCTCAAACCTTACCTAGAACATGCTGCTTGTTTTATATGCCTTCTTGACAGGATTTATTTTACTTCTGAAATGTTAGTCATAATGCCCTGCAACCAGTGAGAGAATCACCTTGCCCCATTAATTTCCTTTTAGACTCAACATCAGGAAAATCAAAACTGCAGGGCATAAACACAACTAGGGGAGATTCATTCACACCCAGATTTCCTGTGAATTCACGATAATTTGGACATTCGTCATAGTTGGAATTCTTTATTATGAACTCGCATGGATTATCATTTATACTTTTACAGAAGTGTTGGTCATGTTCTGCCTTTGACCTACTTTTATTTCCCTATTGAATTATAAGCAACATAAAGGTAGCAAGTATATCTTATCAATCTGTGTTTCATCTAAGTACTATGTACAAGTTCTTGTATATTGCAAGGCATGCCAGTGTCTTCCCCAGCAATCCCACTTCTAGTACAGTTTGTCTCTTAGGAAGTAATTATAAAAATTAACAAAAAAGTATTACAAGGATGCTCATTTAAGAATTCCTGATAATAATTAGTAAAGGTTTGGGAATAAAGCATGTATTTAATGATGTAATAGAACATTTATAATCGTAATGATTTTGGTTCCAAAATTTTAAGTAGCGATTACTCATTAGGAATGGGTTAGTGAAGCAGACAGAATACAGGTAAGAAGGTGTAGAGTTGGAAAATGGTAGAGACTAATAGTTAAAGACTGAGGGCTCTAGAGTTCAGATTCTGATTCTATCTCTTAGAAACTCTGTGACATTTCACAAGTTATTTAAGTTTCTGGTGCCTCACTTGCCTCATCAGTTTACTGGGAATGGTACTGATACCTCCCTCATAGGGTTCTTATGAGGGTTAAATGAACTATAAATGTAACATACTTAGGATAGTGTTATAAGTCTGTATTCTCCAGAGAAATAGAACAAACAGGTTGTGTGTGTGTGTGTGTGTGTGTGTGTGTGTGTGTAGAGAGAGAGCGCAGTTTACTGGGAATGGTACTGATACCTCCCTCATAGGGTTCTTATGAGGGTTAAATGAACTGTAAATGTAACATACTTAGGATAGTGTTATAAGTCTGTATTCTCCAGAGAAATAGAACAAACAGGTTGTGTGTGTGTGTGTGTGTGTGTGTAGAGAGAGAGCGAGAAGAGAAATATTTAGTTTAAGGGACTGGCTCATGATTGTGGAGGTTTAGTACATCCCAAAACTGCAGGACAGGCCAGCAGGCCAAAGACCTAGGAGAGAGCTGCAGTTAAGTCCAGAAGCAGTCTGCTGACACAATTCTTTCTTGCTCAGGGGAGATTAGTCTTTGTTCCATTAAGGACTTTAACTGATTGGATGAGGTCCGCCCACATTAAGAAGGGTAATTTGCTTTATTCACAGTCTTCCAATTTAAATGTTAATCTCATCTAAAAAAAAAAAAAAACCAACCACCTCCACAGACACATCCAGAATAATGTTTGTCCAAATATCTGGGCATCATGGCCTAGCCAAGTTGACACATAAAATTAACCATCACAAGTCCACCCTTGTCAACTTGGCACCCATAAGCATCTCATAAAACCATACTTAATATATGAATAAAGACAGTCACAAGGTCATACTTCTGCTTAACATGATACAACTATCCCGGGTACAACCAAAAAATCACTAGCTCCTTCTCCAGAAGAGGATGCAAAGTGTGGGTGATGTTTACCCTTCTCCTTGATATCCCATAATTTAAAAACTATGATGTAAAATTAACAATACTTAAATACTATGATATAAAGTCAGTTTATCTTATGTTACATGATAAAGAGATAAGAGGGAATAAAATAAAGCTTTGCTATACACACACTTCATAAGAAAATAAGGAAGAAATAATTACAGTTTTTGTTTCTGTGTCTGGTCATATGGCTGTAGCTAGTATTTATAAACTACCTTCTTCCACTACCCATTCATTGCATGTTCCCTTTGCCCTCAGCAAGCACCTCAGCTGATCATGTTTCTTTACCCAATGGTGTGACCCAAACCTTCATTCTTGAAGGGTTTGGATGGTAGTTTTGGCAGGAGCATTTTATGTAAGGAAGGCAAATCCATATCCAGAGTGTCTATTCTGGTAAGAAAAAGAATGCTGCCCCTTCCGTGATGGAAGCCATCCAATGTAATCAAACCTGCAACCAGGGAATGGTGCCATATTGAGGACTCAAATTCTGTTCTCTGCTGCTGGCAGACTGGGCACTCAGCAGCGGCTGCAATCAGGTTGGCTTTGGTAAGTGGAAGTTCACGTTGCTAAGCCCATGCATAACCTTCATCACTGCCATCAAGACCACTTTGTTCGTGAGCCAACTGGGTGATGCAAGGGGGGCTGGGGAAGAAGTCTGACTGGTACCTACAGAATGGGTCATCCTATCTACCTGATTATTAAAATCGTCTTCTGAGGCTAGCCTTTGGTAAGCATTTGCATAGGACACAAATATCTGTACATTTTTCACCCATTCAGAGAGGTTTATACCTCTTCCCCAGACTTGTCACCAACTTTCAAATCATGCTCCTTCCAAGTTCCTGATCATCCAGCCAAACCAATTCATGACACAGTGCATGAACTGGTACATAATCACACATCTGGCCATTTCTCCTTCCAACCAAAATGGACAGTCAGGTGCACTGCTTGAAGTTCTGACCACTGGAAGGATTTCCCTTCATCCCTGTCCTGGGATGTCCCTGAAAGGGAATGTTGTGCTGCAGCTGTTCACTTTAGGGTGGTGTCTGCCTATTGTGCAGAACCATCTGTAAACCAGGCTTGAGTTTTCTCTGCCTCTGTCAACTGATCATAGAAAATTGATCAGACCATAGGTTTGGGCTAGGAGAGAGAAGGTAGTGTGGTAGGAAGGGGGACCATACACATTTGGGCTACTTCTTCATGTAATTTACTTGTGACTTCAGGGTCTGCTTAGGCCCAATCACATACTTGTAATATACATCTTCCACTCGATGATGGAGTGCTGCTTTGCATATCCAAGTTAACAGCTTGGTGGGTTAGATAACATTCAGTTAATGATGAGCAGCTCAAGTCACATGGTAACTTGGTGGCTGCTATGGTCTGATTATCTGTCCTCTCCAAAGCTTATGTGGAAGCTTGATCCCCAATGTTATTGGCAGTGTTGAGAGGTAGGACCTTTGGGAAGTGATTGGATCATTACGGCTATGCCCTTATGAATGAATGAATCCATTCATGGATTAATGGGTTAATGGATGAGTGGGTTATCACAAGACATAACTTTATAAGGAGAGCAAGTGAGCATGTTAATGTGTACTGTTGCCCCCTCACCATGTGATGTTCTACGCTGCCTTGGGACTCTGCTGCAGAGGGTTCCCACCAGGAAGAAGGCCCTCACCAGATGTGCTCCTTCAACCTTGGACTTCCCAGCCTCCAAAACTGTAGAAAATAAATTTATTTTCTTTATAAATTAGTTTCAGGTATTCTGTTTGAAGTGACAGAAAATGGAGTAATACTGTGGCCCATGGTTAAGTGCTCAGTCTCTACTAAAGCCCAGTAGCAGGCCAAAAACTATTTCTCAAAAGGAAAGTAGTTATCTGAAGAGGATGGCAGCACTTTGTTCCCAAATCCTAAGGGCCTGCACTGTGATTTACCTATTGGGCCCTACCAAAGGCTCCGAATAGCATTCCTATCTGCCACTCACACTTAGGGCACCATTTGATGTGCTAGATCATATGGCCCAAGTGTCTGAGTAGCTTGTGCAGCAGCCTGGACCTATCACACCACTTTCTCTTGTTCTGTGCCCACTCAAAACCAGCAGCTTTTTTTGGTCACTGGGTAAATGGCCAGTGTAACACACTCAAATGAGAAATCTGCTGCCTCCAAAATTCAGAGGCCCACCAGGTGTTTATGCCTCTTCTTTGGTTGTAGGAGGGGCCAAATGCAACAACTTATCCTTCACCTGAGGACTATCTCACCGTGTTTCACACCATTGGATCCCTAGAAATTTCATTAAGGTAGAAGAACCCTGAATTTTTCTCAGATTTATTTCCTACCTTCTGACATACAAATGTCCTTCCAATAAGTACAGAGTAATCGCTACTTCTTGTCCACTGAGTCTAATCAGCATATTGTCATCAATATAATGGACTAATATGATATCTTGTGTTAGGGAAAGACAATCAAGACCCCTGTGAACTAAATTGTGACATATGGCTGGAGAGCTGATATACCCCTGAGGAAGCACAGTGAAGGTGTATTACTGGACTTGCCAGTTGAAAGCAAACTGCTTCTGGTTGGCCTTATGGAACAGGTATGGAGAAAAAAAGCTTTTGCCAGATCAACAGCCGCATACCAGGTACCAGAGGATGTGTTAATGTGCTCAAGCAACAAAACCACATCTGGTACAGCAGCTGCAACTGGAGTCAACCCCTGGTTAAACTCATTTTTCAAGATCCAGGTAGTTACTCTGTAACAAAGGTTTTCTTTGAAATCTTCTTTCATGGTCATTTCACATTCTTCATCACAATAAATTATTGCTTCATATTTTAAAAATCATGTTTTAAATTTAAATTAGATTTTAAAAAATTTCCCTCCAAATATTCAAGTAAAACTGATGCTTCTGGAAGTTTAACCAGACACTGCTTTAGGAGGGATCTTCAGCGTTCTCCTTACTTGCAAGTAATAAAGTCTTTTCCTCCTAAAAAAAAAAAAAAAAAAAAAGAAAAAAGCAAAAAAAAACCAAAAAAAAAACAAAAAAAAAAAAAAAAAAAAAAAAAATTTTCCCCAAAAAAAAAAAAAAAAAAAAAAAAAGGAAGCTTAACCATTATCCTTCAGAGGTAAGGAAAGTGAGGCTTAGGGTAGGTACCACCTCATACAAACAGCAGCAATATTTCCTCAGACCACACTTAGTGATGGGGTTACCTGTCTCCCAGCAAGGTTAAAAATCTTTACCATGGGGGCCAGCCCGTGGCTCACTTGGGAGAGTGTGGAGCAGATAACACCAAGGCCACGGGTTCGGATCCCATATAGGGATGGCCGGTTTGCTCACTGGGTGAGCATGGTGCTGACAACACCAAGCCAAGGGTTAAGATCCCCTTACCGGTCATCTTAAAAAACAAACAAACAAACAAACAAACAAAAAAACTTTACCATGGATTTGTCCTTTCTGGCAGATAATATGCACTAGGGTCCAACCCTTCTCAGTCATCTGGTCTGTCACACACAATTAGACACACAAAGTCACTTCACACTGCCCCCATGCACACATCTAAGGCTCAGGAGGAGCTCGCCCTGTCCGAGAGATCTGTGATTCATCCATCTCAGTCCCTCCTCTTCCCGACCAATCCTCTCTCTGGTGCCGAACTCACCTTGCAGACAAGCGCCACAGTCAAACCCCTACGCTAGTCACTGGTCAACCAAGCACAAACGGTCTCACACAAAATGGTACAAGGTCGCTATGCTCGCTGCCACGCTCCCTGCAAATACGCGCAATCACACGGTTTCAAACGGCCTCTCACGCTTGTCACATCTAATTACATCTCACAATCACTGCACAAGTGGCTGAGCTCGCCGCATGAATCCACGCGGGAGCATAGCACAGCCACTCTCTCAGCCACCTTCAAAACATTTTCGCACACAAATCTCCTCACGCACGACACCCCTACGTCTCCCTCTCCATAGGAGTCACCTTCGGATACGCGCACGTGCGAACTCACAACAAAACATATCTGCCACCATAACCCTCCGCACCAACCAACAACATTCTCTTAACCTACCGGATGAGGCGGCCACTTAGAGGGGGTAGGGGCAGCCACTGTCCCAATTCCGAAATCCGTCTCCAGAGGAATCCGAGGTCCGGAATCCAGAAAAGAACCCCGGAAAGTTCCGGCATCATTCCAGCCCGGAGTGAAACTGCGCAGGAGCAGCCCGAGGCCTGGCGGAAGACTTTCCACGTTCAGCTCCCGTACGCTTTCCACTTCCGGACTACATTTCCCAGGGGACACTGCTGCCCAGAGCTACTTCCGGTAGGGGCGTCGGTTGAATGGTCTGGCCGCAGAGGCGCGTGAGGACGTCCAGGGATGGGCTGGGAAGACAGGGCTGGGCGTGTGGCCTGTCCTGTAATTCGAATCAGAACTTGGACCAGAACGCTTCTTTAGGATGCTGAAGGTGAGGAATGCTGGATCATTAGGGCCGTGGAAGACGGTTCTTGGTAGTTTTAGGCCACTGAGTATGGGAGGGGTGGGTTGTGTTGTGAGCGCGCGCGAGAGACGAGGGTTTATCTTTGGGCAAAAAGTGTGTGGTTGTTCGTTGCGATAGCAGCTGGGTGCATGATTGTGCTTTGTGACGGTGTGATTGTGGGCGTGACCATTTGTGTGAGTGGAGTTTGTATGTGACTGTGACCATGATTGTGGATGGCTATTTGTGTAAGCCCAGTTTCTTACATGAGGGAAAAGCACATTTATACAAACCGTTATACTTAGGCTCACAAAATCAGGCAGTTAGGGATACCCTCGGGTCAGCTGAAGATTCCCACACACAACACAAAGCCAAAGTCACACTGTCCACTCCACATTTATCATCTTCTTACAGACTCGGAAAAAGGCACATATATTGTATGGTTATGTACATATATGTTTTGATTTTTTTCAGATTAGCTCATGATACAGATTGTTTTGTAATTCTGTATTATAAGATATTTAGGTCTTTTTGTCTGTATTCAAGGACAAACTTTGAAGTTCTTCTTTAACTCTTACAGAACTTCAAACTAAAGACTCAAGTATTTATCTTGCTCTGGAAATTGTTCTATTTATTTCTTTTCTTCCATCTGTGTTGTTTTAGCCTTTATGTTTGAAATTTCTGTTACATTCTTGTCTTTTGGATCTGTTTTCTTAGTTCCCAGATCTTTCTTCTCATAATCCCCATTTCCTTTTCTTTTTCCTCTTCATTCAGTGAGAATCTACTCAGGACAGTTCTTTTTTTTTTTTCTACTCAGGACAGTTCTGAGCAGCTTGGCTGGGTCCATTTAATCATAGTGTTAGGACACTGGTCCTAACTAAATCCCTTCTGCTCAAGAGCCTGGTCCCTGTTTTTTTGAGTTCATCCTGCTATAGCTGTGTTCCCTCATAGTTTTGAGTAAAGCTGGGATTTGTCCCAATTCCCTCTTCATTTATGCGTGTATGTATGGGGCCTGGGAGTAGGAGACTTGAAAGGGGAAGAAAAATGACATTCTAAATTAGCATTTATGGAGCTCAGCGACAATCATCTGTCTTTTTTTTTTTTAACTCTTTCTCACGCAGCAACACCTTTGGACTGAGTTTCTTCTAGAGTGGAAGCAAGAAGAGGATTAATACATTCAATTTTAAAATAAGCCATGGCCCATGTAAGTTGATATTTTCTTGTTCCTGACTGAAGTAGTTCTTTTTTTCTATAGAGCATATGAACGAATATTTGCATTCTTTATCCTGGCATTATTACCTGAGAATTATGCAGTAACTTACTAGTGAATGAGTAAGTGATGGTACCAGAAGTTTAGTGCCTTCCTTTGTGACTCCTCTCCTCTCCAACCAGTGTTCATATATTCATTGACTAAATTATTCCTCATATCCCATATGCTCAATCTTTTGTAAGGAATAAGGAGAGAACATAAATAGTATTCTTTTGAGGAAAATATTAGTGTTATCTTGTTAGAACTTTGGTTTCAGATGATTTAACAAGTGTTTATTGAATTACTACTGTGTGACTGGCACTCTTCTAAGTATCTAGGAATAAATCAGTGGGGAAAAAAATCACATACACATAGATCTTCTCTTGTGGAGCTTAACTTGTAGTGATTGAGACAGAAAATAACTTATGTGAGGGGACTTCAAAAAGTTCATGAAAAGATTCATATTATCTTTCAATTTTATATATCCATGAACTTTTTGAAGTCTCTCCCAGTGTAAGACTTGAGACATATACACAGATACATATGAAGAAAGTGAGCGAGCAAGAGAGAATTAACAAAATAGTTATATGATAAAACTAAAACCAAAGAGCAAATATGTGCATATGGGCTTTAATTCACCTATTAATAGAAAAAGACTTCAGATTGAATCACACAAACCCCCCCACCTCTCTGCTCTGTAAATCAGCCACCTGTGTGATTCAGTGATTCAGAAAGGTTAATTAAATGATGGCCAAATTGTACCAGGCAAATAGAAACTAAAAGAATATAGACTATATAAAATTCAGGCCACATCACAGCATTAAACATGGCAAAAAAAGGACATTATGTAATTTTAAAGTATAAATTTTACAATGAAGATATAATAGTTATTAATACATCTTTATCAGATATCATAGCAGCAACTTTCCTAAAGCAAAATTTAGAGCAGATAGAAAAAGAAATAGACACTTGCCAGTAGTAGAAAACATTAATTCACTCTCTCAGTCCAAGTCAGGCCAAGTGGACAAAATTAAAAGGACATAGAAGTACTAAATCACATGTTCTACTCTACTAGATCAACCTTATTGATATACATTAAATTCAGTATCCTGATAACAGTTAATGTGCATTCTTTCAAGTGTCCGTGGAACATTCAGTATATAATGACAAAATATTAGGCCGCAGTAAAGTTCAATAAGTAGAAATGAATGTTCTCTGAACACAGTGAAATATAACTAGAATTTAATATCAAAATTGGAAAAATAAAGCTACTGTTATCAACAGTTTATAAACTCTGTCTTAATAACTCCTGGGCCAAAGAGGAAACATAATCTACAAGTAAAAAATTTCTAGTAATCGATAGCACTATATTGGAGCAAATGGAATTTAGTTAAATCAGGACCCTAAGGAAAAATAGTTTTAAATGTTTCTATCAAAAATATATGAGTTAGGGCCGGCCCGGTGGCGCACTGCTACAGTGCGCCGCTTGGGAGCGCGGCGGCGCTCCCGCTGAGGGTTCGGATCCCACGTACAGACCGGCCGCTCACTGGCTGAGCAAGGTGCGGGTGCAACGCTGAGGGTTGCAATCCCGTTGCCGGTCCCGGTCCGGTGCGGGTGCAACGCTGAGGGTTGCGATCCGTTGCCGGTCACGAAAAAAAAAAATATGTATGAGTTAAAAGTAAATGGAAATATGAAAGGAATTTACAAAGATAAGAAATTATATGTGTTGGAGATAGGAAAAAGTTATAACTAGTAAATAAGCTGGTTCTTTTATAAAAATCAATAAAATAGATCAGTAAGCCTTATATAGGGAAAAAAGCATAAATACACAAAATAAAGAGTGAAAAGGGGAAAATCCACAGAAACAAAGGAAATTAAAAAGAATCTTGGAAAGCTACTTTATTTTTTTGTAAAAAAATTTTGTTTATCCACATATACATCATTTGCAGTTGTTCTTCCTTCCTGAGATCTGAGTTTTCGTCTTGTATCATTCCTCCTTAGCCTAAAGATCTTGCCTTAACATTTCCTGTAGTTTGGGTCTTCTGGTGACAAATTCTTTCAGCTTTCATTGCATGAAATGACTTTATTTCACCTTAATTTTTAGTGTCAGGGTAATGCTGGCTTTGTAAAATAAATCAGGAAATGTACCCTCCTCTATTTTCTGGAAAGGTTTTTTGTAGAATAGGTATTATTTCTTCCTTAATTATCTAATACAATTCACCAATGAAGGCATCTGAAGTAGGCAGAATAAAGTCCCACCCCCCAAAATGTCCACATGCTAATCTCTGGAGTCTGTGAATATGTTACCCTACAAGGCAAAAGAGACTTTGAAGAGGTGACTAAGTGAAGGACTTTGAGATGGGGAAGTTATCCTGAGTTATCCAGGTCAGCCCAAAGGAATTACAGGGCAAGAGAGACAAGAGTCAACCTCAGAGGGAGATGTGAATATGGAAGATGCATACTTCTGTCAGAGAGATGCCACGTTTTTACTTGCTTTGAAGATGGAGGTAGGTAGTAGCCATAAGCCAAAGAATGTGAGTGACCTCCAGAAGCTGGATAAGGGAAGGAAAAGGATTCTCCCTAGAGCCTCTAGAAAGGAATGCAGCCATGCCAACACCTTGATTTAGCCTAGTAAAACCCGTTTGAGACTTTTAACCTACAGAACTATAAGGGAGTAAATTTATATTGTTTTAAGCTACTAAATAGAAAACTAGAACACCATCTGAGTTGGGAATTTTCTTCATGGTAGGCAGGGCTTTTTATTTCTTTTTGGATCAGTTAAGGTAATTTGTGTATTTCAAGGAATTTGTTCATTTCACCTTAGATGTCAGATATATTGGCATAAAGTTCATAATATTCCCTTATTATCCTTTTAATGCCTGTCAGATCTGTAGTGATGGTCCCCTTTTTAAATTCCCAACATTGATAATTTGTATTTTCTTGACCAATGTACCTAACAGTTTATTAATTTTATTGATCTTTTCAAAGAATTACCTTTTGGTTTCATTGATTTTTCTCTCTAGTTTGCCCTTATTGTTTCATTGATTACTGATATTATTTATTCTTTCCTTTCTTCTGCATACTTTGGATTTAATTTTCTCTTTTTTTCTAGCTTATATTTCCCTTGTGATTTATTTTACTTTTGGATTATTTAAATGTGTTCTCTAACTTCTAAATATTTAGGTATTTCTTCACATATCTTTCTGGTAATTCATTTTTAATTTAATTCTGTTGTGGTCAGAGAAAATACTCTATGATTTCAATCCTTTTAAATGTATTAGGACTTGTCTCATGGCACCTAATGTGAACTATCTTAGTGAATACTCCATGTGCACTTGAAAAAATGGGTACTATGCTTTTTCAGTGGGCGTTTATCAGTTAGGTCAAGTTGGTTGTAATGGTGATCAACTCTTTATCCTAAATAATTTGTGTGTGTGTGTGGTGACCTTGGTCTATCAATTACTGAGAGAAGAATGTTGAAACTTCCAACTAAATTTGTGGATTTTTGTCTGTTACAGTTTTGTCAATTTTTGCTAATTGTATTTTTAAGCTTTGTTAATAGGCGTGTGCATATTTAGCATTGCTGTATCCTCTTGATGCACGTCATTATCGTTATGAAATGTTCCTTATCCTTGGTAATATTCTTTTTCTTGAACTCTGTTCTTTCTATTAATATTAATTTAGCTTTTTTTTTTTTTACTGGCATTTCATGACATATCTTTTTTCCATTCTTTTGTTTTAAACTATTTTAAGTGTATCTCTTATAGCAGTATGCAGTTTGGATCTGCTTTTTTATCCATTCTGACAATCTCTGCTTTCGTGTATTTATGCAAGGGGTTGGCACATGACATATCTTTTTTCCATTCTTTTGTTTTAAACTATTTTAAGTGTATCTCTTATAGCAGCATGCAGTTTGGATCTGCTTTTTTATCCATTCTGACAATCTCTGCTTTCGTGTATTTATGCAAGGGGTTGGCGACCTACAGCATGCAGGCCAAGTCAAGCTGTTTTTGTATGGCCCTTGAGCTAAGAATGGTTTTATAGTTCTTAAGGGTTGTAAGTAAATAAGGAATGTGTGATAGACAATATACGTGACTCACAGAGAATAAAAGATTTGCTATCTGACCATTTTTAGAAAAAGTTTGCTGATGTCTAGATTCACCATTTAAATTTAATGTAATTATTGATATAGTTAGGCTTTAATCTAATTATATCATCTTGTTATCTGTTTTTTCTTCCTTTTTTTTTCTATTTTCTTGCCTTCTCTTGGATTAATCTTAGATTTTTTAGTATTTCATTTTATTTTCTCTATAGGATTATTTACTGTATCTCTTTGTTTTACTCTTTTAGGGGTTGTTTTAAGGTTTGCAATATGCTTTTTAAAAAACTTATTCTGATAATTTTATACCACTTGATGTATAATGCAAAAACATTACAACTGGATACTTTCATTTCCTCTTCCCATTTTTTTTTTTTTTTGTCTTTTTCCGTGTCCGGCAACGGATCGCAACCCTCAGTGTCGCCCCCGTACCGGACCGGGACCAGCAACGGGATCGCAACCCTCGGCGTTGCTCCCGCGCCTCGCTCAGCCAGTGAGCGGGAACCGGTCTGTAACTCTTCCCATTTTTTTTATATTGTTATATATTATATATCTAAATTTGTTTAAACCAAATACTTTTTTTTAAAACAATTGATTATCTTTTCAAGAAATTATTAAATGAAAACGATACCTTTTTAATTTACACATATGTTTAACATTTCTAGCATTCTTTATTCCTCTGTGTAGCTTAAGATTTAACCTAGCATCAATTTTTTTTCCAGCTGAGGAACTTCCTTTAACATTTTTGTAGCACGCGTCTTCTGGTGACATATTCTCTCAGCTTTTTTTTATCTCCAAAAAAAAAAAGCGAACTATTTCACCTTCACTTTGATGGATTTTAGTTGGATATAGAATTATAGGTTGACAGCTTTCTTTTAGCATTTTGAATATGTTGTTTTGTTTTCTTACCTCCATTGTTATTAATGGAAACTAACCTTAGATTTTTCTTATTGTTCACCTCTGTGTAATACATCTTTTTTGTCTGGCCACTTTTAATTTTTTTCCCCCTAATCTTTGGTATTCAGCAGTTTGATTATAATGATCATAGGTGTAGTTTTCTTTGTATTTATGTTACTTGGGGTTCATTGAGCTTCTTGAATCTATGGGTTGCTATCTTTTTTAAAAATCAAATATGGAAAATGTTTTGGCCAATGTTTCTTTAGATTTTTTTCTTTTGTCCTATTGTTTCTTTTTTGAAGCTCCAATTACATGTATATTGGATTGTTCTTTTCACTTTTTTTTCACCCCCAATCTTTTGTTTTCTCTGGGCTTCAGTGGATAATTCCTAATGACCTGTCCTCAAGCTTACTGATCCTTTCTTCTCTTCTGTTTAATCTGCTATTGATCCCATCCAACAAATTTTTACTTTCATGTAGTTCATTTCTCAGTTTGAGGATTTGCGTTTGGTTCTTTTATAGAGTACCTAAATTTCTGAAATTCTCCATCTTATTACCTATTATACCTGTCTTTACTCCTGTAGACTCTTTAATATATTATCATAGTTTTTACAGTCTTTGCTAACTTCAACACCTGGATTATTTGTGGGCATATTTCTTTTTTTTTTTTTAAAGATGACCGGTAAGGGGATCTTAACCCTTGACTTGGTGTTGTCAGCACCACGCTCAGCCAGTGAGCGAACCGGCCATCCCTATATGGGATCCGAACCCGGGACCTTGGTGCCATCAGCACCGCACTCTCCCGAGTGAGCCACGGGCCGGCCCCTTTTTTTTTTTTGTGGGCATATTTCTATTAAGTGATTTTCTCCTGAGTACAGGTCACATTTTCTTCTTTTTTTATTTCTAGTAATTTTGTAATTGTATATGCAACATTGTATAGAACATGTTGTTGACTCTGGATTCTGTTAATCCCCTCTGAAGAGGAATCCCCTCTGTATCAGATAATTACATACAACAACACATAATGGAAAGGCACAATACTTAAAACATTACAATTAGATCAAGGGAGCAGAATAGAAAGTCTAGACATATATCTACAAATGGGAATTTAACCTATGATAAAGGTGACATCTCAGATCAGTAGGTTAAAAATGGACTCAAAATCCAGAAACTAAAAAAAGGATTAATAAAATTGACTACATAAAAATAAAAAGCTTTTTCATGGCAAGAAATACTTGTAAGCAAAGTCAGAACACAAATGACAGGCTGGGAGAAAGTACTTACAAGTCATAAACAAGCAAAGAGCTTATTATATCTCTAATAAAGAGAACTTCTAGGGAACAAAAGCCCAGTAGGAAAAGAGTCAAAGGATATGAACAGACTGTTCACTTAAAAAGAAATATAAAGGGCCCTTATAAAAAGAAAAACACTCAACTCACGATTCATGTAATGTCAATTAAAACTCTACTGCCATGCAATTTTGCTCTTGTTAGATTGGTAAAAATAAAACGTTTTGACAAAATATCCTGCTGGTGAGGCAATAAGGAGAGCAAAATGGTCCAACTGGTTTGGAGGGCAATTTGACAGCATTTACCAAAATTACAAATGCATTTTCCATTTTGACCCAGCAATTTAACTCATGTTCTCACAAATATTCCTGTATAATATATGAAACCATGTATTCACAGGAATATTCAATGCACCATTGTTTGTAATAGCAAAAAAAAAAACTGTAAACAAGTCTATAGGTCTAATTAAACTATGAAAAATACAAAAAAATGGAATGACATGTATCTACATAAAAATAAAGAAGCCACTGATATGGCAAGATCCTTTGAATTTAATAAGTGAAAAAATCAAGTACAGAACAACATATATATTATCTTACCTTTTGTATAAAAGTGTGAAAAATAATGTATATGTATTTACTTATGAAACTGCAGGAGGTAGGAAACAAAATGGGAAGGATAACGTGGGAACAAGACATCTGAACATAAATCCACTGTTCCTCGTAATAACTTCGTATAGCATACATTATACGAAGTTATACGACAGACTCGGAAAAAGGCACATATATTGTATGGTTATGTACATATATGTTTTGATTTTTTTCAGATTAGCTCATGATACAGATTGTTTTGTAATTCTGTATTATAAGATATTTAGGTCTTTTTGTCTGTATTCAAGGACAAACTTTGAAGTTCTTCTTTAACTCTTACAGAACTTCAAACTAAAGACTCAAGTATTTATCTTGCTCTGGAAATTGTTCTATTTATTTCTTTTCTTCCATCTGTGTTGTTTTAGCCTTTATGTTTGAAATTTCTGTTACATTCTTGTCTTTTGGATCTGTTTTCTTAGTTCCCAGATCTTTCTTCTCATAATCCCCATTTCCTTTTCTTTTTCCTCTTCATTCAGTGAGAATCTACTCAGGACAGTTCTTTTTTTTTTTTCTACTCAGGACAGTTCTGAGCAGCTTGGCTGGGTCCATTTAATCATAGTGTTAGGACACTGGTCCTAACTAAATCCCTTCTGCTCAAGAGCCTGGTCCCTGTTTTTTTGAGTTCATCCTGCTATAGCTGTGTTCCCTCATAGTTTTGAGTAAAGCTGGGATTTGTCCCAATTCCCTCTTCATTTATGCGTGTATGTATGGGGCCTGGGAGTAGGAGACTTGAAAGGGGAAGAAAAATGACATTCTAAATTAGCATTTATGGAGCTCAGCGACAATCATCTGTCTTTTTTTTTTTTAACTCTTTCTCACGCAGCAACACCTTTGGACTGAGTTTCTTCTAGAGTGGAAGCAAGAAGAGGATTAATACATTCAATTTTAAAATAAGCCATGGCCCATGTAAGTTGATATTTTCTTGTTCCTGACTGAAGTAGTTCTTTTTTTCTATAGAGCATATGAACGAATATTTGCATTCTTTATCCTGGCATTATTACCTGAGAATTATGCAGTAACTTACTAGTGAATGAGTAAGTGATGGTACCAGAAGTTTAGTGCCTTCCTTTGTGACTCCTCTCCTCTCCAACCAGTGTTCATATATTCATTGACTAAATTATTCCTCATATCCCATATGCTCAATCTTTTGTAAGGAATAAGGAGAGAACATAAATAGTATTCTTTTGAGGAAAATATTAGTGTTATCTTGTTAGAACTTTGGTTTCAGATGATTTAACAAGTGTTTATTGAATTACTACTGTGTGACTGGCACTCTTCTAAGTATCTAGGAATAAATCAGTGGGGAAAAAAATCACATACACATAGATCTTCTCTTGTGGAGCTTAACTTGTAGTGATTGAGACAGAAAATAACTTATGTGAGGGGACTTCAAAAAGTTCATGAAAAGATTCATATTATCTTTCAATTTTATATATCCATGAACTTTTTGAAGTCTCTCCCAGTGTAAGACTTGAGACATATACACAGATACATATGAAGAAAGTGAGCGAGCAAGAGAGAATTAACAAAATAGTTATATGATAAAACTAAAACCAAAGAGCAAATATGTGCATATGGGCTTTAATTCACCTATTAATAGAAAAAGACTTCAGATTGAATCACACAAAACCCCCCACCTCTCTGCTCTGTAAATCAGCCACCTGTGTGATTCAGTGATTCAGAAAGGTTAATTAAATGATGGCCAAATTGTACCAGGCAAATAGAAACTAAAAGAATATAGACTATATAAAATTCAGGCCACATCACAGCATTAAACATGGCAAAAAAAGGACATTATGTAATTTTAAAGTATAAATTTTACAATGAAGATATAATAGTTATTAATACATCTTTATCAGATATCATAGCAGCAACTTTCCTAAAGCAAAATTTAGAGCAGATAGAAAAAGAAATAGACACTTGCCAGTAGTAGAAAACATTAATTCACTCTCTCAGTCCAAGTCAGGCCAAGTGGACAAAATTAAAAGGACATAGAAGTACTAAATCACATGTTCTACTCTACTAGATCAACCTTATTGATATACATTAAATTCAGTATCCTGATAACAGTTAATGTGCATTCTTTCAAGTGTCCGTGGAACATTCAGTATATAATGACAAAATATTTTTAAAAAAAAAAAAAAAAAAAAAAAAAAAAAAAAAAAAAAAAAAAAAAAAAAAAAAAGACTTAGATCACGTTTATGTGAACCTGGATCATCCTACATCAGTATTCTTCAATGTAGGCACATAGTAAATGTACAGGGAGAGGTGGTGGATGATAACAGTTAAGATCTCTCAGGTGTAATTGCAGGAAATGGAATATACACCTTATAAAAGACCTTAGAAATTTTGTCTACCCCAGAGATTCAAGTTCAAGAGAATGATTAAATCTCTTCTTTATAAGATCTAATGTTATGCCAATGATAAAAAAAAAAAGTTACAGTTCCTGTGCTGTATAACAAGCCACCTCACAATTTAGTAGATCAAAATGACAACAATCATTACTTTGCTTACAAATCTGCAATCTGAGCAGGGCTCAGTAAAGGCAGGTCACCTCTGTTCCATGTGGTATCAGCTGACATGGCTTGACTGGTAGCTGGATGACCCACCTTCAAGATAGTTACCTCACATGACTTGTAAGCTGTTGCTGGCCATTGTTTTGGGGACCTTGGTTCCTTTCCCTTTGAGATCTTCCATAGAAAGCTTAGGCTTCCTAGGAACATGGTGGCTGGATTTCAAGAATGAGCATTCCAAGAAAGTAAGGTAGAAGTCAGACATTTTTATGATCTAGCCTTGGAAGTCATATAGTTACTTCTGCCATACTCTATGGATTGTGTAAATCGAAAATGTCCTCTCAGGTTCAAGAGAAGGAGGTACAGACCTCCACACCAATTGGGAGGGGGCATGTCAAGGTTACATTGAAGAATAATGTAGGGTATGGGATATACTTCTGTGTGCATCTTTGGAAAATATAGTCTGCACCAGATGTGTACTAAAGTATTCGCTGAAAAGTAAAAATGCCTATGATGGGGCCGGCCCGGTGGCGCACTGGAGAGTGCGCCGCTTGGGAGCGTGGCGGCGCTCCCGCCGAGGGTTCGGATCCCATGTGGAGACCGGTTCCCGCTCACTGGCTGAGCGCGGTGCAGGTGCAACACTGAGGGTTGCGATCCCGTTGCCGGTCAGTAAAAAACGACAAAAAGGAAAAAAAAATGCCTATGATGTTATAGTCATAATAGTGAAAAAATCTTCAAGTTATTTACCTTAAGATGGAGATTTTTGAAAGACATTCTGGAAAGATTAAAAAGTTTTCAACTATTTAATGTAATTGGGAACCTCTACTTATTTTCTTAATTTCTAAATGACTGATTAACAGGAGTTCCCCCTAGTATGCAAGATAATATATCTGCAGAAATTGATTTAAGAACATGTAGGCACTCTGCTTCATTTGCACTAAATTCCTTTTTGACCTATGTCACAGGCTTAGCCTATACACTCACTATACTGTCTCATTCTTTTAGTACCTCTCTTTCATTTTTAAAAATGTTTTTTTTTTTATGATTTTAAAGACTGATCTGTGATTTGTCATTTTAGGGTTTGGTGATGTTCAAAGATGTGGCTATAGATGTCTCTCAGGAGGAATGGGAATGCCTGAACCCTGCACAGAGGAATTTGTACAAAGATGTGATGTTGGAAAACTATAGCAACTTGGTTTCACTTGGTAAAGTTATCTAACAATTCAGAATGCTTTTAACAATTCAGAATCTACTTCTTGGAATTCTGCTTTCTCCCCTGTGAATTTTAAAGATAGCTTTCAAATAACTAGATAGATTTTCCTCTTTGTATAGAAATGAGCACAGCTAGGTGAAGGTGCAATTTCATTTTCTCCATCCTCACATGTTCTTCTGGTTGTCTCTTATAATAACTTTCTTGGATCAGAATTCTACAATGTAAAAGTATAACATTGTCAAAGAAAATAGGCGTTGTCTTTTGTTTCACTTCTACTATACTAAACCTGCCAGTGCCCTATCATAGATCCAGACTAAACATATGGGTCCCAGGTGTGAAACTCTTTTACTTCCCCAATTAATATGATGGTAGGCTGGATCTAGAAAGGAAATTTACTATTTACAGCTCTAATGAACACTATTTCATTTCCTAAAACAAATGTACTGTCTTTTAAATGATTTGCATTTGAATTCTTACATTTAAGAACTTTATGTTGGGCTGGCCCGGTGGCGCACTCGGTAGAGTGCGGCGCTTGGGAGTGCGGCGGCGCTCCTGCCGAGGGTTCGGATCCCATATAGAGACCGGTCCACTCACTGGCTGAGCGCGGTGCGGGCATGACACCGAGGGTTGCGATCCCGTTGCCGGTCACGAAAAAAGACAAAAAAGGAAAAAAAAAAAAAAAAAAAAGAAAAGTTCTTTTTTTTTTTTTTTTTTTTTTTTTTTTTTTTTTTTTT